CAACAAAAGAAATCGCACGTGTCTAACACAGTTAATGTCGCAGTCAATGTCTGCGCAGACGTCGAGAGAGTCCCTGATGCCCCACCCCCCCCCCCCTCTTTTTCCCTACCAATCCATCGGCTACTTTTCAACTCATCGAAGGATGTTTGAAAAAAAAAAAACAGAAAATAGAAATCGTGTCTAATATATTTATTGTGGCAATCACTGCCTGCACAGATATAGATATAGTCCTGTTTGCTGTACCACGACCTACTCTATGTATTAGAGGAGGTGTTGGCTGTACGGCGCATGCGCATTTACTAACGTGGCTATAATTAGAAATCACTAAAGTTATAAATATTAGTTTCGAATATCATGGCTTAAATCGTGGTCACCTATCTCTAACAATGACAGGTTGAATTTCAAACCATGATAGTTCAACATCCGGTATCAAAACAAACATATCCTGAAAATTTCAGCTAAATCGGTTCAGTAGTTTCCGAGTCTATAGGGGGCAAGCAAACACACAAACATTGATTTATATATATATATATATATATATATATATATATATATATATATATATATATATATATTCTAGCTGTACCCGGCCACGCGTTGCTGTGGCATAGTTTGCCTAACTGAAAAGAAAGTAAAAAAAAAATCTTGCTTCGTGTCACGCCAACGATGTAGGAAACTGTAAGCGTCTGAATTCGAATGGCATATCTGTTGGAATTGCGTTGCAAAAAGTATATACTGGCCCTTAAATGTTCGTGTAAAATTGTACTTAGGATGATATTGGGCACCATCTTTTTCACTGAAAGCCTGGCACCAGTGCAAAGATGTGGCGGATTTATGTTTCTGAGGAGAATGACAGGCACGCCAACTTTCAAGGTTAAAATATGGGTGGCATGCCTGGCAAATCAAGCGAATTCAAGAACTCAGTTGAATGATTGACAACCTCATCTTGAATCATTACAGTATCGATAGACTTATACGTTGTCACTCCGCATAGTAATTTGTCCTGACTGTTCGGATTCATGGCATACACATCCTTGTTGTTAGCTGCTAATATTGCACGTTCACTGAGCCACTGCTGATTTTTATAAGTCTGTGTGATATTAGGGAGAACTTTATGAATCAGTTCGTCTGTGGTAGCTGTAAGTTTACAGAAGTCTGTTGGCAATGTGATACATCGTGTGGATTCATCGGTTGGCATTGTCCCATTCCCAATATCCAAGAACTGTTTTGCAAAACATTCAGCGGTTGCATCATGTAGTAGTTGTGTACACATATTGGTCTTCAAAGTCAATATATGTATGTGTCGCCATACAATTTCTGCAATTAAGCATTATATCACGCCAGTTGAAGTCTTCGCCATCCATAATAATGGCACTTTATCAATTGTTGGTGCATTGTACTGTCTGTCGTGTTGGCCGATCGCCAATAGCTTGTTCGTCCTCACGCACTGAATGAAATGTGACTTCAAGTCGCTGAAAAGAAAGTTAGAAAATATGAACATGAGATAACAATCTATTTCAACTCAAGAGAAAATGCATAGAAACTGTGCAGCAAATATTAGGAACAATTGGTAAACAATATGTATAGGTGTCCAGTGTAGCAGTAAGATTTGTGGTATATATGTCTTGCAACTGAAATAATCGACTTAACTACAGACTACCTGCAGTTGAGCTGCAAGGGAATTTCATGTAAATGTATATAATTCATTTGAATAATAGAAGAACGCCAACCGAAATTGTGTATACATGTAAACTGTAGCAGTCGTTTGGGAGGCCTAACTGCAAATGTTTGACAAAAAAAATGAACAGTGCGTGAATTTAGAGAGCGTTAATCGTCAATAGCATGTTCCTCCCCACGCACTGAATGAAATGTGACTTGAAGTATCGCTGAAAAAAATTTAGAAAATATGAGCATGAGATAACATTCTATTTCGACTCAAGAGGAAATGCATAGAAACTGCGCAGCAAATATTCTGAAAAGACAGTAAACAATATGAATAGGTAGGTGTCCAGTGCCCAGCTCAAATAAAGGAAAATATGATCATGAGATAACAATCTATTTCAACTCATGAATAGGTGTCCAGTGTAGCAGCAAGATTTGTGGTATATATGTCTTGCCACTGAAATAATCGACTTAACCAGACTCTACAGGCTACCTGCAGTTGACCTGCGACGGAATTTCATGTAAATGTATATAATTCTTTTGAATAACAGAAGAAAGCCAACCGAAATTGTGTAGACATGTAAACATGTAGAGATGTAAACATGTAACAATCATAATAGTAAGCTAGACAGTCTGAGAAAGCCAACAGATAATGTGTATGCATTTATCATAGCGCGATTTAAGGAGTGGTCCACACATGTTTGAAGTTGAAAAAAAAAAATGTACATACTGGCTTATGGTAGTGAAGTGAATGCGCTTACCTTTTGAGATATTTCTAGATTCCGCAGGCAATTGTTTTCCTTGTTTCTTTTCATCCGCGGGCGGATGTTGACGATGGAGCGTCACTACTGCGCATGTACGGTGAAATTCGATCGCGCATGTGCATTTAATAACGTGGCTATAATTAAATGTCACTAAAAATTGAAATATTAGTTTCGAAGATTGTCCCAACAATTGTCGCACACTATCTCTAATTTCAAACCATGATGGGTAAACATCCGTTATCGAAACAAACATATCCTGAAAATTTCAGCTAAATCGGTTCAGTAGTTTCCGAGTCTATAGGTTATAAACAAACACACACACACATTGATTTTAATATATATTGATATTAAACATTTAAAGGCGGAAAAGCAAACTGATTATCATGGACTGCAGAAAATGATAAGAGTTGGGGAGTGTTCAGGGGATCTAGTAGACATTTAAAACGCAAAGGAAAAGCAACAAAGGGCTGCATGGTCTCGAGGCATTGTGTCCGCCTCGAGTGCTAGAGGTTCCGGGTTCAATTCCCGATAAGAGCTGGAATTTTTTCACGTAATTTCCCTTGGTCCCTGCGTAGTGAGATCAGACACTCGTGTGCATTGTTGCGCACCTAAAAAAATCCTTTGGCAGTTGGAAATCAAAAAGAGTAGCCAAACGTCGCAGCCCGGGCAAAATATAGAGTTACACATCTAAAGTATTTCAGGATTTTCGCCGGTGCTACAGAGCTACTTCGGACTCAGACTTGAGTTAGCACTTATGGGTTACACCCGTGTGCCATGATGTTGATCCGTTGTTCAAAACCTCAAAACCAGGAAAATCAACAGGGACATACAAATGGCTACTGGTGCTATCGTAATTGTTGCCCTGTGCTGGCTGCTGAAGATAGGGACAGGGCTGTTGCGAATCGTCCTACTTTTGTGATGCCAGTAATTAACTCTTTTTAATTCAAGTCAGAGGAAAAGAGTATGATTAAAACATAACTTCCTGTTCGAAACTTCTTCATTCGCAATTGTTACTGCAGACCCTCTGTTAGTTTCAGCCAGTGTCCTAGCAATTTGAACTTTTGACTTTCTTGGCTTCTGCTTCTTCTTCTTCTTCTTCGGCATTCCAAGTCCTTGAGGTTCACTGCTGCAGATATTACCCGCCTCCACGTATCACTCTGGTTGGCGTTTTCTTTCTAGTTGGTGACACCGAGTGTTTTCGACGGTATCTCTTCGTGGTCTTATTGGTCTGCGTCGTGGTCAACGACCAATCAGCTCCCTTGTGTATAGTTTTTACATGTCTGTCATCTGACATTCTCTCAATATGCCCCAGCCATATCCGTCTATTAGCTCTCATGATGCCAGTGATCAGTGGTGATTTAAGCCCTCTCATTCCGGTTTTTGCATCTTTGATGACCCAAAGATTTGCGTACAAATTTGTGATATTGGCTTGGCTTCCTTTGCGGGAAAAAAATCGTTACATTCAACCAGTATCTCCAAAGGGTGGGCTATATGCCCTCACATAAAATTGTTTAGCGTTACTCGCCTCCAAGTTGCCCTGAAAAAGACTCTTGCAATGTTGATGCGATCAGAGGAGACAGACCCAAATACTGTCCTGACCGGCGAATAAGGTGTCCACCGGCCAGCCAATGGGGAACACGGTCCTCGATGAACTTTCGATTCGAAATTCGTACAAATCGTAAAACGCCCGTAAAGAGATGATTGTGTCTACGCCTTAGAAGGACAGGATTGTAGCATAAACCGAGCAGTACTTATTGCAACCGTTATGGATGCCTCAGTTATGACTTCTTTGGAGGTTCGACTGGAGTATATAGGATTTGGCCTGTTGGTCTGTCTTCCTTGATAAGATTCGTGTAGACAAAGGGATGGTCAAACCTTCGGTAAAGGTAAAGTCCGGAGATGTTAACCAGCGTCATTGAACACGGCTATAAAAAATAAGTGCTCTGCCACCAGCACGGACAGCTGATAAGACAATGTCCGCCTGTGTCGACGTCCACACGAAACTCCGTAGCTACAGCGAAGTTCCTCCATTTATCCCAGAGTGTTTTATTTTTGGTACCCATTTCCTAGAGATTGGATGAAAACTGGGAACGGTCAGGTTTCGAACACCGGCCATGGGCTGCAGCAAGTAGCAGCAGGATTTGAAAGCAAGTCTCCTATCGACTGCGCTGAAGGCCCCGTTAGAAGTAAAACATTAAATTGTCAGTGTTTGCGGGAGTTATTTAGGGTATATCTTCTGTTAAGATATAAAACAAAACAAAACGAAACGAAGCTAACAAAAATACAGATTAAATGGTCTTTTTCAAAGAGCAGTTAGGACGTTGTGTTATGTATTACAGCTAGGCTGTGTTTTTTGGTGCCTGACATCCGATGTGAGCAAACCCTTCACGTCTTACCTTTTACGAAAATGCTTTGATAAGAGAAGGTTATTCACACACACACGCACGCGCACGTGCACACGCACACGCACACACACACACACACACAAACACACACACAAACACACACACACACACACACACACACACTATTTTAGCCTCAAATCTAAGTGGAGAAAATAAATAATTTACTCACTTTTGCTTGCAAATTTCCCAATCTTAATCAACAGTTTTTTCTTCGTCTTTTCGTTATTTGCATTGAGAGAAATGACGTCGGTTTGTATGAGAATATCCCGGGTGACTCCAGACTCTCCCTCGAGGTCATCCCGAGATTTGATGCTTTTAAACACGAACTGGGCCCGCTCATCTTTGCTGGTTATTTTGATCGTCTTCTCAGGGGTGATGGACCTGGAGCAGTTAGACACGCTCAGCTTCCGGTGATGGTGATAATGGTGTGAGTGGCGCCTTATGTGATCGAAGTTACGTTTATTGTTAGACAGAGCCGAATCTGCAGAGCTGTCAAAACTTACATGTGGCTCGGTCGGGGATGTGTCCAAAGAAGTTGAGTTATTATTACTAACAACTGTTTGATTATTCTTTGTTGGAGATGTAGTCGGGGAATTTGGTTTGATACTGTCATTCACAGTGTTCGTTTTATTATCGTCGTCAGATTTTATCTCACTGGTTTCTTCGATGAAAATGATCGACTTGCTTTCAATTTTACTGAACACGGGCGGTAGGGGTTGAACAGTCAACGGCGAAATAGTTGGGGCTTTCCAGTATTCTGGGCTTTTGTTGGCTCCTGTATGAAGTGAGGTAGCTGATGTGATTGTTTTATTTTTGTGAGAGTCATCTGAAGTCTTGGAAGACAATACTGAGAGCGGCCGAGGCAATGATTCTACTGGAGGCATGGAGGAGACATTAGTCTCAGATCGGTCGTCTGCAGAAGCTCTGTTGGAGTTTTGACAAGGTCCGCCAGACCGCTTGGGAGTACCTGGCTTGTTGGCGGGAGCCACTAACAGCTGTGTGTGGGGTGGTTCGTTCGCTGAGTTTGGGCTTTGTAGCAGATTGTTCCTGAAAAAGATGATTATACGTTTTAACAGAAAGAAATGCATTTTGTTTTAAACTTCAACAATTTTCTGTTGCTGCTGCTGCCGCTGCTGCTTCTTCTTTTTCTTCTTCTTAAATGTTGTCACCAGTATTAACATCATCATCCTGTTTATTGTATTTTTGAATAAATTGTTATTATAATTATTATTATTACTATTACTATCATTATCATTTTCAAGACTGCTCAGTGTGGTTTGTGTTGAGATCTGGTAAAGCCTTTTGCTAACTGTACTTTTTTACAATATTGCGTGTGCAACCGCTGCTGTAACTACTGATTTCATCTACGACGAACTGCAGTTAGACTGTTTGTACTAGCACTTCTGACGGCTGCCTCATGCATTTGATGCATTTGTGTGCTTTGGACTTGCCGGGACTGATAAATGATATTCATTCTGTGTGTTTTCACTTAAGGATAAGGAGCAATCACGCGATGATCCGTGTGCCGTGAAGTTGACGTTTTTTTCTTGTCCTTTAACTGCTAATTTGAGTTTTGGTTCCTGGAACAAGAGGTAGAGGTGGACCAGCTCGAAGGTGGACAACGGATATCAAAGACATCTTTCAGATGGCTGTCAAGGTACCGAGTTCATTTCTTGTTCTATGAGGACAGCGGCGTTCTGCAAAGGACCTGCTACATGATGATGATTATAATGATCCAAGATTAGGTGAAAACCCGAGGGACTGCAGTCAAGCTAATGCCATTAGCTGGTTTTTACAGAATAATTTTTTGAATATTTAAATTACATCACGCTGAGCTACAGTGAAATTATTATTTGTTATGTGTGTTATTATACTGATAAATCTTCTTCTCCTCCGATCCTTCTGTCAGAAAACTTATACCAGGAGGCAGGTAGCCTTGATTTAAGCTTTCGTGCAGTCCATATCTTCCCGTCACCATACAGCTTTGTCTTCAATGTGATTGGAACAGGCTAGATTGCGTTTCTGTTGTCAGCATACAGTTGACAGTGTTGGAGCACATGCTCAGCATTTTCGGGTGCCACGCTGCAGGGACACGTCTCCGTGTTTTTCTTCGCCGAAATGTTGGAACATATGTTGGTGAAGTCTGTTGTGGCCTGTCTTAAGTCTGAATATAATAAACTGTCCCTCTCTAGAGAGACGTTGCAATCTTGATTAGTAACTTTAGAATAGACATTCACACGGTCTGACAAATGACTAACTGTTAAAGTTAAAGTTTTAATGGAGAGCATTTTCTTTATTTCACTGGGACACATCATACGGTGCGCCACAGATAGGCCAACAGTCTACCGAGAGCCTCGGTAGAAAGCACTCACTTCGTAGCTCCAGTGATCATCCCCATGGTTCGTAATACTGCCCCCGTGAACTGTGAACACATCTATGAATGAAACCCACGACCTTCAGAGCGCAAGGAAAAGGCATGACCAATTCGCCATGAAGACTGCCGGTGACTAACTGTAACAGTATGCAGCACCATTATCGGTTATGTAGGATCCTCAATGCCAGATTAATTAGTCATTATTAACATTATACTGGTAAACTGAAGCCATGTAGTGTTGGTCATCAGATCTGTCTATAGCTGACTATCATAGCGATCACCATTGGGAGAAAACACTGACTGGCTTGCCATGTCAATGAAAATAGGGTGTGTGCCAGGAGTGGTTGAAAGGAGAGACAATTACTTCAGCTCTGAAGTGGATAACTGAAAACCAGAGTTACCAGAGGAATCATATTTTCTGATTCTCATTCTGTATTCTTCTTTTTCTTCTCCGCCTTGACCGGCGGTAAACTGAATCGGAAACATCTGGTTGTTCGTCCACTTCTGGACTCTAATCGTTTTCTAAAACTTTAGTATTGCATACACATAAGTTTTCAGATCTGGCTTATTTGTATGCAGACCGTTGATTGGTTTTTTAGTGTGTGTTTTTCCACCTCCTTTTCAGTCAGATGTACTCCGACTGTGAAGGAAACCCGAAATAATCGACTGTTACGACATGCTTGTTGGGAGAGTAGTTGGGTCTATCTTGTTATCCCACAATGGGAACACACACGTAGATTTAATCCGTTTGTGAACGGTAATGAATTTATAACTGTGACATAATTGGACATCTAGCATCACCACAATTAAATTATAGAGACTAGCGTGGATATACTTTCTGGAATCTGCAGGAGTGCCAGGGAGTGGACAGATGGATTCTTGCTTTTTTTTTAAATTTATTTATTTATTTATTTATTTATTCATTTTTTAAACTTATACTGGACAAGAAATAAATTCTGGAGACCATCCATGAAATAACATGTGTAAATTTATGTGAATTTGGAATTAATCGTGGACCCGGCAGGAACGGACGCGTGAAAGGAAGAGTACGACGTAAGTACATCCAGTGTACTACTGGAACATTCAGTATCAATAATCTATGACATTTTTACAGAAGACTGAGCCTCTATAGCAGGCCAACTCAACTGGCAGCCTGCGGCCGGTGGGCTAAATCTGGCCTGCGGTGGCCTAGCAAGTGGCATGCGGATTACTGCTATTTCTATTGTTTTAATGATCTCTCTGTGCTGGGGCCCATGGCCCGTGACGATACCAATTTTGAAAAAGTTGACCCCTGAGTAAACATGGTTGAATAGCTCTGCTATATGGATAGGCCCAGTCTGCTATCGTCTTGATTCTTAAATCAGTGATGTCCGGGAATACACGCGACAGCCGAGCTTATCAATGATACATGTTTGTAGAAGAACATGGCCAGCTGACAGTTTGACTTGGCACATGATGTTGATGTTGACATCTACCAAGTGGATACATGTAGTGGGTGAGTGTAGCTAAATGTGTGAGACCTAACATCCATAAGTAACACAAACCCCAACAAAAAATATGCAAAACAAGGGTGCCAACTGGAAGTGGATATCAGCTTGGACGGACATCAAACTATATTCACCTGGATGACAGGCTCTTGTTACTGCCTATGCTGTCTTTCTTGTCTGTTCTTGACAAAGGTTCATTCTGAGCTGCATTGACTTGTTTGAGATTTTGCGCTGCTTTTGAGGATATATGATGTCCTGTAACAGATCAAGTTCATAGTCGGTAATACTAAATATACATACTAGGACCATATCTTGTTGTTTACACTACCGACCAGTCTGATTTTCTTCTTAAACGAAATGGAAAAACTGAGTACAGGCGACATTCTACTTTAATCAAGTAGATTTAACCAAGAACGTATAGAAGTAAAATAAGTAAATGACCTTTTTTTCCATGACTTATTGACCTACAGACGATGAAATGTTTTAAGTTATATCAAGCGCCATGGCAGATTGGGGGAAAATAATAGCAGTAGGCATGGTGCCAGGAAGGAGGGGCAGAGGCCGACCAACATGAAGATGGGCACAGGATATAAGTGACTCCTTCAGTATGAAAGTACACGAGGCTGGAGAGCTGACGAGAGACCAAGTTTCTTGCTTTTTTCTTTCTTTTATAGACTAATCGGCACTTGGTGGGTAATGTGGTCAACGTCATCCCGGCCTCTTTCACTTCTCTGGACTACAGAGGGCACCCATTTAGCGCTGGGTCGACCTGGCCAGTTTCATTCTTGAAAAAGGTCCAGGTCTCAGGACTTGAACCCATCACCTTTTGATCCTCAGGCGAGCGTTTAGTAGCTACACCACGACGGATCACAACATACAGAAGGAAGTTCATGAATAGTTAAAGAGTGTCTTAGTGACAACCTTTGGAATGAAAACCTGTATGAAGCAGTGGTTGTAGTGGTGGTGATAGTGGTGGTGGTGGTTGTAACAGTAGAAGTAGTAGTAGTACTACTACTAGTAGTAGTAGTAGTAGTAGTAGTAGTAGTAGTAGTAGTAGTAGTAGTAGTAGTAGTAGTAGTAGTAGTAGTAGTAGTAGTAGTAATAGTAGTAATGATAATAATAATAATAGTAATAGTAGTGGTGTCTGTGGTTGTAACAGTAGTAGTAGTGCAGCTACTGGCAACATAAGGGGAATGTATGCTGGCATCAAGAAGGCTATTGGGCCAGTAAAAAGAAAGATTGCCCCTCTCAAATCAACCACGGGCGAAATCATAAGGGATCAGACAAAGCAGCTGGACCGATGGGTGGAGCACTACTCAGAGCTATATGCTACAAGCACCTTTGTATGTGAAGAGGCCTTAAATGCAATGGAGTGTCCGCCAACCATGGCTGAACTAGACACGGAACCCTCCGTCACAGAAATCGGTGAGGCAGTAGATGGGCTTCCTTCAGGGAAGGCCCCAGGAGAGGATGGTATCCCACCTGAGATCCTAAAATGCTCCAAGGATGCTATTCTTCCTGAGCTACACAAGATCCTCTGTCAGTGTTGGCAAGAAAAATCGGTGCCACAGGATATGAGAGATGCCAACATTATAACTCTCTATAAAAATAAGGGAGATAGAAGCGACTGCAACAACTATCGCGGTATCTCTCTATTGAATTATGTGGGAAAAGTCTTTGCTCGTGTTATCCTAAAGAGGTTGCAAATTCTAGCGGACAGAGTATACCCGGAATCACAGTGTGGGTTTAGGGCCCAGAGATCAACAGTTGATATGATCTTCTCCATCAGGCAGCTACAAGAGAAGTGCAGAGAGCAACAGAGGCCACTGCTCGTTGCTTTCATAGATCTCACTAAGGCCTTTGACTATGTCAGCAGAGATGGTCTATTCGGGATCCTTGAAAAATATGGATGCCCACCTATACTACTGAGCCTAATGAAATCCTTTCATGAGAATATGAGGGGAACCATAATTTATGAGGATTCATCATCTCGACACTTCCAGATTCGAAATGGAGTAAAGCAAGGATGTGTTCTGGCTCCCACGCTGTTTGGCATCTTTTTTTACCGCATTTTTGATGCGTGCCTTTGGGACAGCAACTGAGAGGATATACCTCCGTTCGAGGTCAGATGGCAATCTTTTTAATCTGTCCAGGCTACGTGCAAGGACGAAGGTGCACACGAGATG